ATTCTCGTTGTAAACTTTTTGAGCCTCCGAAAAGATTATGGGAAGAAGATGCCATATTTGATAAATATTTTGTTAAATAAGTTTCTTTGATTTGTGAAACAGATTTGTAAATAAGTAGAATGAGAAAGAGATTTGATTTGGAGTAGAGAGAAATTTGAATTGCAATACAAAGAGAATTGATATCTAATTTAAAGAAAGAGAAGAGGTGAAGGAGAATAATATCAAAAGAGAGAAATGTTTGTATAATATCAGAAGAGGAAATTATTACAAATGATTCAGTTAAATAACAAAACTCAAAGTAGACATATATACAAAACTCAAACTGATTTCATTGGTTACAAATGAAAACTAAAGATACAACCAAAACTTTTGTGTATAAAGCAGACATGAACAAAAGCATTGGCTACAAATTAAAGCTATAGATACAACCAAAAACAGTTGGTTCCACTTGTGCAGATGAAGCCAAAACTTGTGAAAAAAATTGTTTGGTTGTGCCGACTTGGTCACGAGAACCATAGCTTAGGAATTTTAGCTGTCTCTTGCACTTTGTCCATGAGCTTTCAGGATGTCAATGGCCTACAATGTGGTAAGCAGAATTGTTTAAGCATAAAAATACCATCCTCACTCCGGATGTTATGTTTGACTATTTGACAGAGAAGTATAGAAATACCTTGCTGGTTTTAGCACAGTATATCAATGGAACTTTCCCAAGATTTTCAACCTATAGAACATAAAAATACGTAGTTAATTAATGGGGTAGAGACAGACACATTGGAGAGCCAAACGGTCAATTATACTGATAGAAAAACATGTATAAAGAGAGGACCATAAAGAGTTGACCACATAAACTAATAAAGTCAGAAGATGCTCGTGAGACCATCATAACAGGACTAACCTTGGTCACCAACTTCTCTATCCTGGAATCACTTCTGCAATGCAGGTCACTACATATGATGTTGGATGTATTTTGTTCCTGACCAAATCNTTTGNCNTCTACAAAAATATGCATAAGACCATTAATCATCAAGAAGTGACATATCTTCACAAGTCTAGCAAACCAAAGACAACGGTAATGAAAATAAACCTTCAGCATCTCAGCAGCTACAATAACAACAGATGTAGTCCCATCACCAATTTCTCTATCCTGGAACTCAGCTAACTCAACAAGAACCTGTCATAACAAAAGCAATTAAAGCAAACAAGACAAGACGAATCGGGTACGAGAAACAAATATGCTACCCAGATACATACTCATCTAAGAAACCAAAACAGAGGCTAACTCAGATGCAAATCAGAAACCAATAAAAATCTCAAAAGAATGACTATAAATGTTCCTTTTATCAAAATAACATCATAATCAATTTATATTCCCTTTCCAAGTAAAAACACATGTTCAGTATAAAGAGACTCATATGACTGCCTTAATAAAAGGTACAACATATTCACACCAAATCTTCTTAAAACACACAACATAGAACATTCCGATTTGAAATTGAAATATGATACAAACACAGAAATCACTTCTTAAAACACACAACATAAAACATTCCGAATTAAAATTGAAATATGATACAAACACAGAATGTGGAACATATGCAAGGAAAGCACACATGAAATCACTTCTTCTTAGACAACATTTCTATAAGAAGCATGTCCTTGAAAGCTTCTTCTTTCTCTGAAAGTTTTTTCTTCGCAAGGAGATTGTCTAGTAGTCCCATCATGGACAACTCTTTTTGCATATTCATGTCCGTCTCTTTTAAAGAGAACATACTCTGAAATTGCTCCATCTTCTTGTTGTCATCCATTATCATCTTACC